GAGATTATCTACCTAGATTTTCAAGGCAGCATATCGGTCTATATCCATCGTTGTCCTCTTTTGGCGGACCGGTCTGGCTTCACTATCGATGTTCAAAGCATGGCAAATCTGATCCCAGCCATATCGGCATGCATCCTTGCAAACACATCTATATTTTTTCTGAGGAAGCTGGTCAGGTTGTCAGCGAGTTAGAGGTTGAGATTGCTTCCAATCTTTAATACTCGGCTCGACTCATTTAGGTCGACTGATACTTCCGATAGATCCTCAATTGGCCCATTGGAAGGGCATTCTTAGATACGAGGATCCATATTATCCTTGATTAGGCCAGGCTGTGGTTCGATCCGGTTGATCGCCATTGCCTGTTTAGGAATGCCACGGGGGATGCCTTTCCCTTTGCACGCCATCTACACTGCCCTTAAATAGCAGTTGCGAGATGCGCGCTGAGATCCGCTTACCTCCCCTATCCTCGTTGGGGTAGGGAACTTCATCTTGAGATGGTAGATCGAAGTGACTGCCTTGAAGTTTCTTAGTAGAGGCCGCCCAGGATACCATTGAAAGCGGAGGGGCAGTCTACTACTAAGAATTCAATGACCTTGGTCACTTCATCGAAGTCACCCAGCATGACCGGAAGCGAGATCATTCCCTTGGGGATCAGGTGATTCCCTGTAAAACTATATAGGGGGATTGAGGCGAGCTTTAGGTCAGCCTCATCCAAGTTCATTCTTTCGAAAGCTCGCTAGAACAAGATGTTCACAGCGCTCTCATTATCCACCAACATTCTGTGGACGTCACAGTGTCCTATTTGGGGCATAATGGCGAGAGCATCATCATGGGGATGATGCAGTCGGACTGCGTCTTTTTCGGAGAAGGTGATTTCCTTCTCTCTGCAAAGCTTTAATGGTCGCTGCGTCATGTTCATCACACAGATAGGGTCGTGATGGGCTGCATGAGCATATTTTTCCTAGGCACCTCGCGAGTTTCCCCCGAGGTGTGGTCCCCCAAAAATTATCCCCATGTTACAGATACCTTTGAGATCACGACGCTTCTTACCTGGTTCCTCTCGATTTTTCTCCCTTACAAGAGCAGAGTCATCAATATACTCTTTGAAATGCCCCTGCTTGATAAGATCTTCGATTGCCTGCTTGAGAGCTAGACACTCATCGGCGTGATGCCCATTGTTCCGATGATAACGACAGTACTTTTTACTGTTTCTAGTTGAAGGGGGATTTTTCATGGGCTAAGGCTCTCTGAGCAGACTGGCCTCTTCTGACTTGTCAAGAATTGCCGAGGCAGATGCATTCAAAGGGGTATATTGATTCCTGTGGCAATCGCGACGAGGAACGGGAGCATAAGACTTCTTGGGCTCAAACTGATGTGTTTTTCCTTTTCGCTGATCATCGTTAGCCCATTGATGACCAGCCCTCCTATTTTCCCCCCGACCTAGTGCACTGCTTGAAGTGCCGGGGTCGTGGCGGTGGAACGCCGCCACAGAGTTCTCGATATGGAGGTATTTCTCCGAAAGGCTGTAAAAGCAAGTGAGAGAAACATCATCCTCTGATTGCAGCTCCTTCCACAGATATGTCTATGGACAAACTCCTGCTATGATGAGAGTCCGAATGGACTCTTTAGGAGTGTGAGCTACTTTATGGAGCTCTCTATAGAATCTGTCGATGTAAGATTGGAGGGATTCGTCCCTCTCTTGCCTTATGTTGCTGAGGTAGCTCAAAGGCATTGAGAACTTCCTGTTAGCCTTGAAGTGTCTCAAGAATGTCAACCTCATTTGATTCCATGAGCTGATCGATTCCGTCGGGAGAGACCTGAACCATCGCTTAGCTTGAGATGTAAGAGTCACCGCCAAGCATTGACATTTTGCCAAATCAGAAACTTGATGAAGTTCCATAAGGTCGTTGCATTCATACAAATGATCTTGCGGATTGGAATTCCCATCAAACGCTCGCGTATCGGGCATTCTGAATCTGGACGGGAGATGGGCAGCTAACACAACCACCGAAAAGGGAGACGCCTCTACCGCATGCCCTCGCTCATTTGGCTAACTTTTAACTGATCGATAGCTCACTGTAGCTCCTCAATCTGAGGCAGCGGAGCTATCTGGTGATCACTTTCCCCCATGCGGGTTCGACCCTCTCGATTGCGGTTGAGGAAAGTCTGGAGATTGGACTCCACCTCGCCTCGGCTGGCAGTTCTGACTGCTCTTGACGCACGGTAGTTAGAGTCATGCAATGGCGATGAATGGCTCGAGGAACCATCCCGACCTCCGTAGTGGTGCGAACTGACCCGCGAACGGTAGGAACTTCCTGGGCGACGACGATCGGGGTCGTTATTCTGGCGATAGTGGAATCCCCCCGCCTTCCACTTTTGTGGGAGTGGGAGTGCTCGCGCGATGTGGCATGGGATGGCTCGGTCTGCGACCTGTCACTGAGTCTTTATGCCACGAGTATTCTACCCGGGGTGCGGTCGGTGTTTGTTGGTCCCTCGGAGCCTCTAGGCCGTTGTTTGTCACTTGCTTTTCCTTTCTTTGACGCGCTTTCATACGACCTGCAGGCTTTTTTTGCGGTGGCACTACCTCATTTGATTCAGGTGCTGCAACCCGATCGAAGCGGTCCAACCTTTGGTTAACCGTTTCCAGAGTATTGTTAAACCTCTCCAGGTAGCTCATGATAGCTAGATCAAGCCATGAGCTTGAGGGGATATCCCCCACGAGATTTGAATCTACGAGCCATTTGCTGTTGTAGGACCAATTAGTTAGAGATTCTCCTGATGAAGGACGAATACTAAATCAGGCCCTCCTTCTAGCGCCAAACTGTTGATGTGTGATTTTGACACCAACCAAACGCACATGGAAAACGCTGAGCTGACTTAGATAACACACGTGCATAGAAATAATGAAGCTATTGAATTGGATAGAAGAAGAAGAACAATGTTTGAAGTGGTTCGGATGCTCAAGTAAGCAAATCCTACGTCCACTGGTATTGTATTAATGTGTTTGAGATCAGATTGCGTTCAGCGAGCTAACTTACAAGAAGTTACAAAAGTGAGAGAGAAAGAGAGAGAGAGAGAGTGTGTGTGTATGCTTATTCTAGAGAGAAATTAGCCAATCCCACAAATGAGAGAGGAGCCCTCTATTTATAGTGGGATGGGTTAAGGTAATGATTACTAGATCTGGGAGTTGGTTAGACTTTCATGCAATTCCTTCTTTACGTCCCATTGCCCACCTACTAGAGCGATTTACGCAATTTGTGCAGGGATTGGACATGTGGACCTTCTCCAGCCTTTTGCTGGTCTGGCGCACCCACTGCATTGACAGAATCACACTGCTCATGTCATCAAGCGACGTGACTGCGCCTGGATGGCTGCAGGTTATATCTAAGCTCTGACCACTTATGCTGATTGGGCTCTACGTCAGCCCTACTTTTTCGGGCATAACATTAGGCTTTAAAATAATTAATGCCAAATTAAAGTAGCTTAATTTCTTTTTTTAAGCCAACAATCAGGCCCCTGTAAAGAAATTTAAGTTTTGGTTAAAGTTATATATTCTCAAATTATAGATTAATTTAGAAGACTAAAGATTTTCCAATGAAAGTATAATTTAAAGTTGAAGAGTCTAGCCTGCTGTAATGCTGTATATATGTTACAACAATGGGTTAGTGTAAATAAGGACAACTGGCAAATAAGAAGAAGAGTTTTGCTTAATTAGACTTTTTTGAAGTGATAAGCATTTTAAAATTTTTTTAATTTTAAATAAGTTATTTTATGTTTATTGTGAGAAGGTTAAAATTTGAGCTTCTTCCATAAACACTTTCCGAGCTTATTTCATAGACACTTATTGAGCTTATTTTGAAGTGTTGAAATTTAAAAAATATGCTTATACTCCCTACTAAATTTGAGTTGATCTTTTTCTTCTATATTAAAACTTTTATATTATTCTAATCAAACAACGAATAATTTTTGAAAGCTATATTTTCAGAAAAACTACTCGAATAAAATTAATATTAGTAGTCTAATTCTAAAGAGTGCTAATGTGTCTTTCAGGTCGGAATATTTACACTAAACAAAATACTCTTCGCACCCATTTACTAAAATCAAGAATTATTAATTTTATTGTTACGGACTATTATAACTCTAGACACTTATTATAGTTCACTTAGGATGCGTTTGGTTTAGCAAATGTTATATTACTGAGAATGTTATATTAATGGAAAGATAGATTACCTTGAGCATCAATAAGAATGTTATACTAAATGTGTTTGGTTAGATTAGAATAAATTAGTGGGTATGTTATATAGATTACTAAATTATCATTCTTTTTTATAATATTATTATTATTATTATTATTTGAACTATTTTTTGAACCCCTACATTTGAGATTTTCTAAAGCACCCTAACTACAATAAAAGTTTAAATTTTAACAAAATCACCCCACCCACCCAAGCCACTATCGGCCACCACCGCCAGTTGCAGTCGGTAGTAGCTTGAACGGCGCACGACCAACCGGATATGGCCAAGAATGGCAGATCTATTCTTAAAATTTCTGGACAAATCGATGGATCCGGCCATTTTTGACCAGATTCATGGCTGTTAATTGTCACTTGATCATTAGTAGCCATTTTTGAGATAAATGCTTCAAAGAAATTTGGATCATGCAAAGCTGAATTTAATTTATAATAAGACTATATAACTTCAGATGAAACTAGTTGTACTTTAAATTTGAAGAAGTCCAATACAATTTTATGAATTAATTATAAAGGGATGCAGACTATATATACAACTTAGGATACACAATAAAGCAGAATATCAAAACGCACCAGCACTTTGTTTCTGAGGTTGAGAAATCACAATCTCAATTTCTGAAAGCATGTTTTACTTCACAATTGACGTATATATTATTTAACATTGATCTAATTTAAATATTTGATAGCAATTGATGGCAATCTAAAATAAAATTCCAAAAACAGGAAGAAAAAAAAAAAAAAAAGATTTACCTCTTTTAATTTGGACCTGGATTCAATTCGCAGCTTCAAGAAGAAAATTTCAGAAGGAAACGATGAGTTCAACTCTTACGATGAGTTCAACTCTTTCAAAGAGAATACTCAAGGCAACAGTATTCATTCTCCAATTAAGGGCAAAATTTATGAAGAAAGATTTCAAGTCCGGAGCAGGGAAATGACAAGGATAACCCTCAATTCCTAAATTCCAAAGCCGTCATGAACCCCACATTCAACAACCCAATTGTATTCAAATTAATTATGAAAAACTAATTTTTCACTCTTTTAACTTAATCTTTCAAAGATAAAAATAAAAAAAAAAGCCAATGACATTGAAAATCTATGCTGTCGTATTGTTCAACTTCCTTGTGGTTTTAGTCAAATAAAAATAATGTGAATGCTACTGTTTGTTTACACAGTGATAGAAAATATACAATAATTTTGTTTAATTATTCTGTTCATAATAATACAAAGTATAGATAATCACTATTGGATAATCTAACAGTCAATTAAAACTCTTAGGTGTATTACTCAAAAGATCTTGAATTCAAACTATTTAGATTGTTAATAAGGGTGATCATTGAGGAAATTTATCCGGTTATCAATTTTAAAATCCTAAAATATTAGTTGAGACCTGTGAAAATTGACCCGAACATCTCCAGTCACCAGAAAAAAAAAAAATAACAAACAGAAGACCAAATAATTGGGGATAGAAACATCAACATGTGATCAATAATTAAAAGAGACTCTTTTAAAAATTTAATTAATATTCTACGTCAACAAGGCTACTATCTTTGACATGTCTAAGTCACTCAATTGGTCAGAAAAAGATAAGAATATGCCACCTTCGTCTTTATTGGAGCAGGGGATTTCGTGTCCGAAGGTAATCAATACGAGAATATGAGAAGAAGAAAGGATTTATTTCATTTTCCTTTTTATTGTTTAAAAAGATTTTGATATTTTTAGAAAGACTTTGATATTTTTAAAAAGATTTTTTATATAATTTTAGAGAGTTTTTAATAATTATAAGATTAGGGCAAAAATTTACAGTTTATACATAATAATAGAATCTGCAGAAAAATCAGTTTAAAGTTTAAGAAATCATACACATGTTTGGAGGCTCCTCCAAATTTGTCTCTGAACAGATTTCGCTATCGACCCAAGTATAGGATCGAATCAATGTAGTCCACACAAAGATAACTTTAACGAACTAAAGAGGAATTTGCTAGATCCTCTTTAGTCTTTAAGAACCAAAAGAAATCAATCAAACTTTGTTTCAAGCAAAAAGCATTCTGGAGTGGGAGAGAAGAGAAAGGGGCTGGAATTTTTCCTTTTAACGATTGAAATGAATTAATTAAATAATTCACAAAGTGTTGCACTTATATAGTGCACACTTTGCCCTATTCCATCAGAGAATAGGTTTGGGCTCTAACTTAAACATCCCTTGTATCCAAATAGCCCCCTTTAGATATTTTAATAATTATTATTGTTATTTTCAATTAAATTTAATTAATATATATATATATATTAACATTTAAATAACAATAATTCATTTAAATATATGCGAACACATATTTAAATATAATTTCACTTATTTAATTTTAATTAACAAATTAAATAAAGGCTACGACCTCAGCAAATTTAATTGCACTATGAAATTACCAAAATACCCTTTCATATAAAAAGACGAAAACACCCTTCTTATAAACTGGTTCTTAAATTATCTTTTATGTGTGTGACCCATAGGCTCCTTATCATACCGAAAGTGTGTAGTATCGTGATAAACACCAATTAATCGTCTCACTACACATTGACCAAGATTGGCCCCTAGCAAGGTATCATGGCCACCGGATAGATTCGGATTCAGCGAAATAGCTACTTGTCAATGATATGGTTACTATTCAATCCAATCATTTCATCATACGTTATCTCGACGAGACCGAGGCATAGAAATAGTGTCAACCTTAGTTACTCTCGATATTATGTATTCAGTTACTAGACCAATGACCTGAATTATAAACTGGATAGAGCAACAACTCGATCCCACTGTGGCCACAGTTTTAGTGTCATTGTCATTTACTGAATTGCGCGTGAGATAACTTCTCCTGTACCCGGGAGTGATGAATCTTCTGTCTATCCACCATAGTCTTGATACACACCTTGATGCAGCCAATCACTACCGTATTGACAGCTTTAAATAGAACTACGTTGGGCCAGTGTCAAACTACATCAATCGGTGCACAAGGTGCTTTGGTGATCTCAAGTCTAAGGATCACATGCATCACCTTTCATTAAAGGATTTGTTCCATAGACAGTGGGGTTACCATCCATATGGAATCCTCTAGTGGGTCAGTCCAATGAACTTGCCTACAGCAAGCAGCCATGTGTTGCACCAGGTTGTCACCAAACAACCTCGACAAGTGAGATCAGTCACTGTCTTTCGACGGGGTCATTCAACACTATGATAGTCTTACCGTATTATCTGTGCCTTTACTTCAAAATAATACTGGGGCTACAGACATTTCTAGAATGGCCACCATATGTGCTCATAGGGTTCTCACTATCAAGATTTGAAACACTTGATACCCTCGCCACGGTTCTACCATTCTAAGGACATATATCAATACATACAATGATGATTTACGCGATATAGAATAAAATGCCTTTTATTGATCAATGAACATTATTACAAAGAGTCAATTCTATAATAATTGATTGGCTCTAGGGCATCTACTCTAACATTTAGTATAGAACTAGCCCCAAGTCTAGCCCCTATTTCAAAGGATCCTTTTCACATGGCCCCAACTAAGCTCCTAAAATTGAAGAAGCAATTACAAAAGTTGTTAGACAAGGGCTTTGTCAGGCTGAGTCATTCCCCATGGGGTGCTCCAATTCTATTTGTGAAAAAGAAGGATGGGTCTGTGAGGATGTGTATAGATTATCGTGAACTGAATAAAGTAACTGTAAAGAATAAGTACCCATTGCCCAAGATAGATGATTTGTTCGACCAATTGAAAGTGCCTCAGTGTTTTCTAAAATTGATCTAAGGTCAGGATACCATCAGGTTAGAGTGGTTAAGGAAGATATACCAAAAATGGCTTTCCGAACAAGGTATGGGCATTATGAATTTGTTGTGATGCCATTCGGATTGACTAACATACCTACAATTTTTATGGACTTGATGAGCGGAGTTTTCCATGATGTCATTGACAAGTTCATAGTGGTGTTTATTGATGATATCCTGGTTTATTCCAAGACTTTAGAAGATCTTGCCGAGCACTTGAGATTTGTGTTACAAAGATTAAGAGAGAAAAAATTATACGCCAAATTTTCAAAATGTGAGTTTTGGTTGAATCGAGTTACCTTTTTGGGTCATGTGGTCTTTAGAGATGGTGTATCTGTGGATCCTGTTAAAGTAGAGGTGGTGCTCGAGTGGCAGAGGCCAAAGACAGTGAAAGTGGTTAGAAGTTTTATGGGCTTAGTAAGGTACTATAGGAAGTTCGTGGAAGGCTTTGCAAAGATAGCCAGACCACTTACAACTCTCACCAAGAAAGAAGTACCATTTGAATAGACAAAGGCATGCGAGCAAAGCTTTCAAGAGTTGAAGAAAAGATTAACTACAGCTCCAGTTCTTACATTACCAGAAGTAGGCATTGATTATGATATTTATGTTGATGCCTCCCATAATGGTTTGGGAGCAGTATTGATGTAGCAAGGGAAAGTCATTGCTTATGCCTCTAGACAATTGAAAGACTGTGAGAACAGATATCCTACCCAGGACTTGGAATTAGCAGTAGTGGTTTTTGCTTTGAAGATATAGCAACACTACTTGTATGGAGTGAAATGCAACATATACACTGACCACAAGAGTTTGAAGTATTTCTTCACCCAGAAAGAGTTGAATATGAGACATAGGAGATGGTTAGAATTGGTGATAGACTACAACTACGACTACGACATAAGATACCATCTAAGGAAAGCTAATGTAGTGGTAGATGCCCTTAGTAGAAAAGTCTCTTTATCTCAGATTATTGTATAAGGACAATTACAACAGGAGATCTTCCAAGACGGAATTGAAATTGTGATCAAAGGAGGATTGGCCCAAATAGAGATCAAACCCACTTTGGTGGAGGAGATCAAGATAAAACAGGGTAAAGATGATACCTGCAAGGTAATCTGCCAACAGATGATAGAGGGTAAAGAGATAGACTTTGAAATATTAAATGGGGCACTGATGTTTAGAGATAAATATGTGTACCTCAAGATGAAGAACTAAGGAATAAAATCCTTAGTGGGGCACACAATACATTTTATATTTCTCACCCTAGGAGTGTAAAGATGTATCAAGATGTAAAGAAAAGCTATTGGTGGCCAAGTATGAAAAAAGACATTGTCGATTATGTTGACAGATGTTTAATATGTCAACAAGTAAAGGCAGAGCATCAGAAACCATCAAGATTACTCCAAACCTTAGAGATTCCTAAATGGAAATAAGAGGATATCTTAATGGACTTCATTGTGGGACTTCTTAAAGTTCAACAAGGATATAATGCAATCTGGGTGGTGATTGATAGATTGACCAAGATAGCTCATTTTCTACCTATGACGGATAAGATAGATGCATTTCGATTGGGGCAATTATATGTTAGAGAGATTGTGAGATTACATGGAGTACCCAGGATAATAGTGTCAGACAGAGATACCAGGTTCATATCAACTTTTTAGGTTGGAATGCAAAGAGCATTGGATACAAGGTTAGCCTTCAATATGGCTTATCATCCTCAAACTGATTGCCAAACTGAAAGGACTAACCAGGTGATTGAAGACATGCTTAGAGCTTGTTGTATGAATCACAAGGCAAAATGGAGTGATATACTTCCACTAATAGAAATTGCCTATAACAACAACTACCAATCCACTATCTAGATGGCCCCATATGAAGCATTATATGGAAGAATGTACAGATCCCATTTGTACTAGGATGATATTGGAGAAAAAGACTCCTTGATTCAAGCAGTTGGACCAGAGATGACCCAAAAATTGATTGAAGATATTAAACTTATTAGAGAAAGAATTAAGCAAGCCCAAGATCGACAGAAGAGCTATGCCGACCCAAAAAGAAAAGAAGTGGAATTCCAAGTGGGCGACAAAGTTTTTGTAAAAGTCGCGCCTTAAAAACATATTATGAGATTTGGAAAGAAGGGCAAGCTCACTCCACGTTACATTGGACCCTTTGAAGTATTAGAAAGGGTAGGCAAAGTAGCTTATAGACTTGTGCTACCAATGAGTCTGGAAAGAGTCCATAATGTTTTCCATGTCTCTTTGTTGCATAAGTATGTTAGTGATCCTTCACATGTGCTTTAGATGGAGGAAGTGAAATTACAGGATAATTTGGCTTGTGAGGAACGTCTAGTTCAAATCCTTGACAGAAAGGTAAAAGAGCTCAAAAACAAGCAAATTCCACTAGTTAAAGTGTTATGGAGGAATCACAAGATAGAAGAAGCTACTTGGAAAATGGAGCAAGATATGAGAAGTCGATACCCGGAGCTGTTTCTATAATTTTGAGGACGAAATTATTGTAAAGGGGAGGAAATGTAATATCCAAGATGTCAAAGGTATGTTCTCCTTTAGATGTTAATTTTATGTTAAAAAGCATAAAATCTAACTAAGGGCAAAATAGTCGATTCATTGGGAATGATATGAATCAATTATCCATAAAAAGGCATTAGGGGCAACATAGTCATTTTGCCTATGGATAAGCATTGAAAAAATCTAGGATGAGCAAGCTTAATTGCATTTAATGGCATTAATTAAGTAATAATTATGTTTAGTGCAAAATGACCAAAATGCCCTTATATGAAGAATTAAGGACTTATGAGTTATACAATTAAAATAATTGGGCTAATAGTATAATTTTGGAAAATAAATGAAATATTTTCCTATAAATGAGAGGAAATTTGTTCAAGCCAAGGGAGAAGCCTTTCTGCAACCTTTCTTCCATTTTCTCTCAAATCTTCTATGAAACAAGCGTTCTCTCTCTAAGTTTTAAAGGAGTTTTGCATAATTTTTCAAGGAGAACAAGATAGGAGCCTTGGATCTTCAAGTTGAAAGGTTTAAGTAAGGATTAAAAACCCTAGTTTTGATGTGATTTGAAGATTTGAAGTAGATGTTGAGGTATAATGTTATATATGTAGGATTAAGGTGTAAAAGAAGACAAAGGCAAAGGATTTGTTAGAGG